TTATTTTATTATTATTATTATTATTTCGCCGACTTTAAAGTCACACTTAGCGTAAACGCTGGGAAACATTCACCCATTCCTGCTGCAGCCAGTGATGGCTTGATATCTCATCCCTGCCCCTAGCAGAAATTAGACTCAGGTGAGGGGAGGAAATGCATTCCCAATGCCGCGATATTCTTGACGAATCTGGTTCTCATCACGCCCTCTGTCAATATCACTAGGGCGTATGTCTCCCAGTCTCCAAAGGCGCTTCGACTCGATTAACAGGTTTTCGTATTTTGCAAAATTGGAAACGAAAAACTCATTGCTTTCGCGTGTGCAGTTAAAATCGCAATTGTTCATTTAAAATTAATAAATTCTTGGCGAATCTGGTGGTCATCATGCCCTCTGTCAATATCACTAGGGCGTATGTCTCCCACCTTCTCCAGTCTCCAAAGGCGCTTCGACTCGATTAACAGGTTTTCGTATTTCGCGATCTTCTCTCGTTAGATCTTCTGAATGTTGTGGGTAGTTCACTGCGATGTCTATGATGATCCCTCTTCGTTGTTCCTTGTTTATCAGCACAATCAGGTCGGTTGAAGTCCACTGTTCGGTCTTGTTGGGAAAATGTTAAGATTGATCGTAATTGATCGTAAAGTCTGATCATAAAAAATAATGATGAAAATGATAAAGAAAAAATCGTGGTTCAATAAACACATTTCTCCTTCAAAATCGGTTTTTTCAAATTTTTTTCATTCATTTTCCTGCCCTTGTTCCTATGCATAATTCTAAATTTATCGCAAATATTTAATATACGACCAATCCTAACATTTTCCCGCGATAAAAGCGCTGGGAAAAACCCATTTTGTAAATATCGATTTTTCGCCCAAAAATGATTAAATGATGGTATTTGGGCAATTTGAGACCGTCCATCCTAAAAAACTTGGTTGCGCGTAGTTTTTTGGACGTGGAATCGAATGCGCCGTGTTAGAAGACGATCCGTTTTGGGCTAAGGTCAGTTTTGGCCAATTTAAAAATTAAAAGTCCAAAAAAAAATGGTCTAAAATGGACCAATTCTTTTTTTTAGATAATTTCATTGGAAAGAACGGGAAATGTCCGCAAATAACCTATATGGAAATCTCGATTCGTTGTACTTGATCAGTTATGAATTATCGAAATAATCAAGATTTTTAAAACTTCGCGTTTTTTTCCAATATTAAAAAAATCATAGCTTGGGAACGGAGTGCCCAAATGGACTAAAAAATTTTTTTGAGAGTCGGGCACATATGTACGAACATATTCCCGAAGTTTGAGAGATAATTTTTTTTTGGGCCATGTCCAGTTGTATATATGTATATCTATACTTTGTTTTTGTTTTACATATAAAAAGTTTAGGATTCTAACACACAACAAAAAAATAGGGGACCACTTCATCGTGTGTGACTCAATAAAATAAGGTAGACCGGGGATAATTGCATGTGAGGGTAAATAGACAAAGGGAGAGTTTCTTAATTCATTAAGTACCAGTTCCATCAATGTGTGCTTTATTTATCTCTATTTCTAAGCGTATGAAGAAGATCAAATGTTTTCTTTGATACCATCATCACAGTATATCGTCACCCCGGAAGAAAAATGACATAACTCAAAAAAAAGGCTATTTTCATTTTTATTACATTTAAAAATTACTCTTGTTTTACAAGTAATACTGACTATTATTATTTGTAATTACAGTATTGTTATTTTTTTAGAGCAAATGGTTATTTCCAAATGATGTATGTATGTATCCTTAGATTTTGAAATAACAGACACATCTCAAGAGAAGTTGTGACATTATTTCAGCTTCACATCATAATCCCAGTTTTTAGTGGGACAAATCTGCACTCTGACGTCAAACTTAAAGCGTTTAAGTTATGATATTTTTCTAAAGAAAACTCTAGGGGAATTGCAATATTTTTTAAATATACATCTCAAAAAAATGTTGTCACATTTTTTCCGGGGTGACTATATGTACATACGTATGCCGGTATAAAACAAGGTTTTGTACATATTATCAACCTGGTAGGTATATTGCAGCGTAAAAAATGTAACTTTGTTTTGTTAAGAACCAGAGATCAACAAGGCCTTGTTCTGAGAATTCATGCGTGATCGGCACGAGGTGATGTCATGTAGCTCACCAAGCTATATGGGACACGGAGGGGAATAACGGGAGATAGAGGCATTGAACATCGAGACGTGGTGAAATATAGCAGCTATTAATGTTAACCGACATACTAATTGAACAATAAACCCGAATATCCCCATCCCACACCAAAGGTTGCAGCCAGTCGATACCCTTCACATTGATCAGTTGGGCCTCAACGGGTTTATCCGCAAGGTCAGCTCGAGGCGGATAATCGTGGAATGGTTAATTGGCGCAGCCGTAGCAGGGACAGGAACTACAGGCGACCGTCGCCCGTCAGGAGGATGTCCAGGTCGAGGGACAGACGCTCTCGATCTAGGAGGAGGTCGAGGGATCGAGGTAGCATCAGGAGGAGCTCACCGGTGCGCGACCGATCCAAGGAGACGAGGACAGGATTGTGAAAGTCCTGGATCATGACTGTCACCAAGTGGCAGATATTCCTGGCAGCACCCGGTCTAGGGCAGCTGGAGTGGACAACATTAAGCCATGGATCCAGTTTGACTAGGGAAGTAACTGGTGAAGAGTTGATGCTGGGTGTGTAAGGGTCAGGTGTATTTTGTGAATATCTCGCTATGGACTTTTGGCGGTACCACATCTTGTGGTCAGGTATAGTAGTTGTACTATATGCTGGCGGTAACATAATTTGTGGTCAGATGGATAGTGATATTCGCAACATATTCCTGGGGTCACTGTGGTATACGGGTACAGGGTATACTGTGGACGTGACGTGACGTATTTTCTTTATTTAAACTCATAGTCTTTATGTTAAATATAAGTTGTTATTGATTTTATTATTTTAATCTTAGTAATAAACTGGGCCCAGTTCATTAATCCATTCTTAGGATATAGATCCGATAGCTGCTACATGGAGATCACGCCAAGAATTGATATTTCATATTAAGTTAACTCGTTTGCCATATCAGTTACTCTGTCTTAGACGATTGTACAATTTCAGATTCTTGTGCCGAGTACCTGAGTGAGGACACTCAGGAAAGTCAGGAAAGGCCGTGTTAAGAACCAGAGATCAACAAAGTCTTGTTCTGAGAATTCGTGCGTGATCGGCACAAGGTGATGTCATGTAGCTGACCAAGCTATATGGGACACGGAGGGGAATAACGGGAGACAGAGGCATTGAATATCGAGACGTGGTGAAATACAGCAGCTATTAATGTTAACTGACATACTAGTTGAACAATATATGTTTAAATCGGCTTTGGGGTTTCATTTTATTTAACAGTTTATTACATTGAATTTTGTATCTCTGGTAATCATGGAGCTACAGACAAAATTAACTCTGAAAATAATATTCCAACCATTATAATTTAATGGCGATATTCAATTCATATCTCTAATATGAAAATAATATTAGAGACATGAAAAATTGAATATTAGACATGAAACTATAATTTTCATGTCTAATGTATGTATTTTATCATTTCACTTTTTTTACCAATTCACTTCACCCAACAACTTGTGTAAAAATCATTGCATCTTGTGAAAAATGCAATTCCTAATTCAAGCCATCTATTAAGAAAGATGTATGAGTATACATATGTAGGTATATGCGAATCCATTCCTATGTATGGTTAGTTCATACGTAAAAATCCTTTGACGCATCGATTTTTATTGTCAATTGTGCATTTTGAGTTATAATTATAATTCATTAAATTTGAGTATATTAAAAATAATAATTAGAAGATGACGTCAACATTTTTTTTAATAGAACAGCCTATATTTATTTTCTACTACTAGATTCTCCAGTAGCAGACAATTCTAAAAATGTTTAACATTTATGGTCAAAAATGATTTGTTTATGAGTTACGAGACAATTGAAAATCAACTCACAAATAAACAATAACTTTAGACAACAATTATATACATATTTTTGGAATTTGCTGATACTAGAGAATCTAAAAATGGATAAAATAATATATAGTGTTCTATTAAAAAAAGGTCGATGACTTTCTGTACGGAAAACTGGTGACGTACATCAATATGTCTACCAATAGCCGTAAAATATAGAGTAATTAAAAAAAAACGTCATCAACTCTGGCTATGAACGAGATGGAAATAGCGGTCATGTCTAAGCTTTTTGGTTATGTCAAACTTTTATCAAGTGACTGTCAAAATTTGTAAAATAAACAATGGCTGTCATATGATGACGTTGACAAGTAAATAAGGTTATAAATTCGATTAAGAATAGAAATACGTCTTTTTTTCTCGGCCAACTTTGATGACGTTTTTTTTTGATGTCTATAATTAAACATATGTATTTAAAAAGGCGTCTACGATATAAGATACCGAAGTTCTAAAAGTTACATCACTACTTTTTGTACATGACGTCATCGACCTTTTTGTAATAAAACTCCAGTAACAGCCAATTCCAAAAATATAACGTTTGTGGTTTAAACTTATTTATTTGTTCCTGGAGTGGGTAGTGGAACATTCGGAATAGAAACAAAAAACTGGACGTTTTCCACGAAACGAATACACTTCTCGACGCGCATTTCGCCATTCAAGTTGGCATCTTCAGGAGAAGATTAAATCTTCTCCCCCACCAGAGGCCAAACGCGCGTCGAGAAAAGTGTAGTAGTTCGGTGTTTCGTGGAAAACGTCGTTTTTTTTATTTATTTGTGATTTAAATTTGGATTGTCTCTAACTCACAAGCGATTCGCTTCAACCAACAAGCATCTACTCGTTAACAGCTGCGTGTATATCAAACATAATCACACACCACAGAAATTGACATTCTCCCTCCAAGAGTCATTACAACTGTGCAGAGGCAGAATACACATGGCAAAAAACGTAGGACACACAACCAAACCCTGTGACAGGTTCCAATTGCCACAGGCGGGATTCGAACCCGCGCGGATAGGTAATAGCTCTCGGAGTAATCGCCATCTACTCACCTGACGCTTTACCCACTGAGCTATCGCCGCGGTAACACTTCTGTAAAGTATTACCAATTTTTACAGCACTGGTCGAAAAAAGGTGAAATTCTGAAGAGGTGAAAAAGGTTCTTCTTTCTTTCTAACAGTATTTATGCACCCCGAATAGTAAAGACTAAATTAAAAACAACAGCCTTACTATTTGTTACTTTAGCGTTATAACTAGGGTTCGGAATGATTCCCATAACGCCATATCGATTCGACTTCCATCTTGCACCTGTCACAGGGTTTCCATCTTGCGTCAAATTATGTTTAATGTGCCCAAAAATGTAACATTTGCGACTAGGCATACTAATATGTTTTACCTGCCAACCTCAATGACCAACTTACTAAAATTCTCTCCATTATTTAATATATGTAATAGTTATCATATTAATGAAAATAAGTTGGATATTTTACACTGTAACATCTGTTCTATAAAAAAGCTATATGTAGATAATTAGTTACTTTTTACCCTCTGTTTTATAAGTATATAGGTATACATTTTGCTTTTTTTTCTATTTTTTTTGTTTAGTATTATATAAGTATATTTAGTATTATTGTTATTGTTATTATGATTGTCTTTAAACTGTTGTGATTTTAAACATATGTTGTCCCCATTCTATCAATGGATTTATCTGTTGGATGGTGTATCCAAATAAATAAATAAATAAATAAATAAATAAATAAATAAATGAATGAATGAATGAATGAATGAATGAATGAATGAATGAATGAATGAATGAATGAATGAATGAATGAATGAAAATGAATGAATAAATAAATAAATAAATAAATAAATAAATAAATAAATAAATAAATAAATAAAAAATTAAATAAATAAATAAATAAATAAATTAAATAAATAAATAAATCAATAAATAAATAAATAAATAACGCTTGTTAAACGGTGTTTAACTATTCTGCTCTCGTACTACTCCTGTCCTGCGTACTACTGCGCATACGCGAGTCGCGGCGCGTTGTCGGGGAATGTCAGTGGCAAGAAATACACGGGCAAGAAATACACGCGTATAATTCACAATGCGCGTAAAAAAATACGGTTTTTATACTTCAATTATCATAGAGTTGTACCTATACTGCCGCCCATGCGTTATGGCGCACATTTCCGGACCCTGCTAGTTATAACCTACTGACGATCAAATGTGTTCAATCAAAACAAAGGCGCGACAAATCTTTTAATTGAATTGTTACTATGAACATGAAATATTCCAAATACCAATCGAACTATTGTGAAATGACGTCAAAAAATTGCTGAACCTAGTCAATACACACATTTCATATAGCCTTAATTGATTTGATTAAATTCCATGTTATGTTTTATTATCAGCATTACGTAATACTTTGCTTTGCATTATTTTTAACGGTACTTTCCTTGTATTTTTAATAATATTGATATTTAGCAAAGTTAGGTAAAACTTGATTTTTATTAAAAAAAATAAATTATTGATTTAATTAAAAAAAATTATGGTTTTTATGATTTTTTTTCTTAGTGCACAGAATAAATGTAGTATCAACATTCATGTCCATTTTGCATTATTTTATGTATTTCATGAAATTGAGTACCTATAATTGAAATAAATTTAAATACATATAAGAATATTACCAATTAATTCCATATCGAAACAGACCGCTTAAAAATTAACAATATGTTCTGTGTCGACTGACGAAAACGCGTTGAAAATTAGCATTTTAATTTCGGCAAATATAGGTGATGTGATAATAAAAATTAAAATTAAGTGTGTTAAAGTGAATGTCAATGGTCCTTATTATAAATTACAGTAGAGAGAGTATGTACTATGTATGATTTGGTATTTAGTTTTTAATAGATTTTACTACGTTATTTCAGTATTGTCTAAAGCAGACGAAAACCGGAAAAAAGTGGATCCTAACCGGATCTACCAAAGTGCAATTTTCTTGTTCCAACATGCAGTTTTATGGAAAAATAGTGGCAGACACCGCAGATTGGCAGTATGACGGTAATTCGCAATCCAACATGGAAGAATTTCTCAAAACTGCTGTTAAATAGTATAAAATGAGTAAACACATATCGTATCTGTCCAAAAATTTGTTTTTACTTTTTTTAAAATAAATTTCTGAAAAATATAAGGCCATATTCGGAAAAAGCATGAAATTTTACGTCGGAATTGACCAGATCGAAATTTTTTCAGCATAACATTGAAAATAAGCTGGCTAATCAGGGCATTTGGGACATGGGTTAGAAAGAAATATAATTCAATTTTTTATTCTTTCTTGCTGGCCGCAGAAAATAAGCTAGCGGGCCGCGGGTTACCAACCGCTGGTCTAAGGTTAACTGGTGAGATTAGGTATATTATTTTGACGTTAGTAATTTGCTGTTGCATTATGTACTACTACTTATGAATCACCCTGTAGAATATTTAGATCTTCCTCCTTTCTAACTACCGTTCTGTTTTCACTGTGATTCAAGTGACTGCAAGATTTGACAAGAGATTTCAGAGGAAATGTAAGCTTTGCTGTTGCGCTAAAAATAAGTTTCTCAGATAGGATTTACAATGAAATCTTATTGAAACGTAATTTTAGCGTAGCAGCGGCTGAATGTTTCATTGTAAAAATAAAACACACGCCAAAAAAAGTTGCAAATGAAATTTTCTCTTAACGGTATTCATTACAAACGCCACTCGATCATCTTCGCTATCCGCTTCGCATCGAACACATGCACTTTTTTTTCTCGCGTACCGTAATATCCCGCTCCTCGATATAATAACGAGGTTAAAGCGTGACAAAAAAATTGACGGTTCTCAAATTACCTGTCATAAAAAATGCCCGGCCCGATCGATTCCCGCGAACACCTGATCGATGCATCGATATGGCCGGTGCGCGGTCGTAAATAATTGCGCTAAGGGTATCCGTATCGCGGTTAAGATAAAATGTAATTGGCTTTTCTCACGTCGGATATTCAATTTATTATTTTTCGGGCTGGTGAATTTATAAAGGAGATAAGTATACGAGTGGAAATGGGAGGGTTCTAAAATCAATTATGTAGGTACCTACCATCCAGTGTTTACTTTTACGGTCAATTGGATGGCTAAAAATGACGACCTACATATTTACGCTCTCACAATTAAGTATTGCTCTGAAGGTCAACGAAACAATTTGTTTTTATGGATACATACAATGCATATGGTAGTGACCACATACGAACTACATAGGCAAGATTCTGTATAAGCTTAATGTATTACATTGATCACTAAAGTCTATATATTACATTTATTTATTACAAAGAATTAGTAAGTATGCATATGTATACAGCGTAGCAAAAAAGTCGCGCATAATTCCTGTTAACTTTTTTAATAACCTTGTATAAAAAAAAAATGTAAATAAAAGTTTTTCATCAGTTTATTTGCCATGTTTCTGTCAACATCATTTATTTTTGTCTTTTTGCGTTTATCTCAATGTCAAAAATAAAGTTTCCATAACATCTATGGAGACAAACTTTATTTTTTTAAACGACAACCCGTATAATTTTTCTCAATATCTGAAAGCGCAGCTTTTTCTCATTACTATATCTACTTTACTCTCTAAACATTTGATATAGTTCAATAAGATATTTTCGCAAAAAAAAAAACACGTTTAAAGTCATTTTTTGTAAAAGTAAAATGTAATTTCTTACTTAATTATTTATTTTTTAAAAATTAAACAACAGAACAATAGTCATCGCTCGAGGTGTAGAAAGCGACCTCCATTTTCCGCTAATCAATACCTATTAGGAAATATTCAGGAATGGCCTGGATTTCATTTGAAATTTTCTGTTTCAAGTCTTCAATATTATCTGGTCGGTAATCATAAATTTTACATTTCAAATACCTCCATAGAATCTAAGAAATTAGATCCGGGGAGCGTGTATGTATAGATCTTCGCGGAAATTGTATGGCGTAGTGCCCTATCCTGTTGGAACTATTATTGTTGACTAATAACATTAATTATAGTTGTTGATTAATAACATTATTTTCATCTGGACACAACAGTCTGCAGGATGGAATATTGTGATTTCTTAGCAGACCTAAACATTTTTCAGAATTTAAATTTCCATTTAAGAAAAATCCAACAATAACGTTCTCTGACGATTCTGACTTGACCAGTAACTACTATTGTGTCGATTAACAACACAATATAAATTGAATGTAGAATCATCTGACAAAAAGATATTTCTTGCGAAGTTATTATTGTTCTTGCAACTTTCCATTATGCCTTCACAAAATTCAGCCCTTCTATCGAAGTCATCCTCGTTCAACTTGTAAACAAGTTGTAGTTTGTATGGACGTAACTTTTTTCGCTATTTTTGTAACTAATGTTTCCAAGGTGTTTCCAAGACTCTGGAACATTCGAATAGGGTTTTCGCGCACTGAGAGCAAGATATCCAACGCTTTATCTCCTCCGGGTGCAGTTCTAGGTCTAACTGATTTAGCGGAATTCTTAATGCTACCAGTTACTTGACTTTTCTTTGCCAGATGGCTTACTGTTGACTGGTATATTGGAGATATGTTGGTGTACAATTCATTAAACAGTGCAGAAACTTGGTCTTGGGATCTCCGCATGACTCCATACCCCCTCATTATTAAAATTTCAATTCTTTACTTTTCACTCAAGCGATCCATAATTTATTTATAAATCGTAGAAACGCAAAAGAAATAAGAAATTATTCAACACAAGTACAGAAAATAAAAAAAACGGCGCCTGTTACTAAGATAGTTCCTCCGCAGCAGTCCAGTTAAAAAGTTTTGGCTTGGTACTCACGTTATACATATTAGCAGTATTGAGACCGTACAATACGTTTTTTTTATCCTGACTGTACTGAAATGAATGAAATGTATGAAATATTATTCTGTATGAAAATCTGCAAACGTCGCGTATTTATTTCCTACTCATCTTATACAGCCCAGACGTACTTATAATTTTTAAGCGCAGTAAACATAAACACTTTACTGTTTTTGTTGTTATTTAATTAAATAAAT